TCTTGAGGGAAGAAGACATTTAAGGAATGAATGCTCCACTTTAAGTAAAACGAATTAACATTCCACGGATCAATAATGTTTCAATGGCTGATCGTTGGTAATTTTGTAGTTACACTACTCTGAAGCAATAGTAAAGTCCATATCGAATTCTATTTTTTGAGTTTCAAAAAATTATAGATAGAAGAGCCAACTTAGGCAGGTGATAGAGGGAGTGATGAGCTAAGCTGTGTAAGGGAATGATAAATTTGGTCTTGAGCTCAACGTAATGAAATATATTTGCAATTTATATTGTTGGGGGACTTTCATTTCGTATGAAAGTACTTGAAGAAGAGATTCATAGGTCGATCTCACCACTGCAGCCGTTTGGCTTTTATACTACGTTCAGGTTGACGCAGTCCACGAGACCTCCTCCCTTGCTTCGTTTAAAAACTGGCTGAGCTTTCGTCCATCACCCTGCTACTTTTGCTCGAGTATGTGAGTGTGTCTATGTGTGTGTGTTAGCGTCTATACGCAATACCGGTCCTAACTCAGAGTTATCAAAAGGCTAAGGTCAGGCTCTGATCATCAAGGCCTAATGATGAAGCCCTAAATAAACGAAGATCCATCGCGCGGATGGTATTTTAAACAATTATGGTGCCTAGTGGTAAGACACTATCTTCTCCAATAGACAATCATTTGAGCTCAAAATGCTATGCTACTGAACATTAATGAATAGTAGTTCATGTATGATTTGCATTACATAGGGTAAACATTGGACGAAAAAGAAATACTAGAGATATGGATTTAAACGGTAGAGGTAATCTTCGGTTGTCAATAAATTTCGTCAAAGAGTATAACTATATAAAAGAACATGTGCATTTTCAAATCAGAGACAAGATAATAGAAAAAAGCATGCATACATAAAATCAAACAACTACTACGAATAACAAAGTTGTAATGGAACAACAAAGGAAAGTAGTGAAGGGATAAATCACAACAGCAAATCATGAGGGCCGAATGATGGTTAAAAAAACCCTTAATAAAAGCCTAATTTTTATGCTCTGAAAATTCTGGAGTTCCAGAACTGAGGAAATGATTGGTATTTGGATACGAAATTGATGAAAAAGCACAAGTGTGGTCAAGTGTAAAATAAAATGAGAGAAAATAAATAAATTTTGAAAGATATATTAGGGATTTGATTTTTAAACAGATCTAAGCATCGGTATATGCAGAAGATAAGCAAATGTATGAATCAAAACAAATAGAAAGAACGAAAAGAAAAATTAAGAGAAATAGTAAGTAATGGTACATGATGTGTTTCACGAAAAATCAGTGAAAGCAAAAAAAAAGAAAGTTCACCTGCAAATTTACTGAAATCTCGGAGAAACCAAGAAGTTAAATGATAAAAAGTTCTGTTGGATAAACTGTAGGAGAAATAAATGACATAGATTTAAGGATAGATGGATGAAATGATCTGAAGTCTCTTTCGCAATTTGGTCATGCTGTCAACAAGACGTAAAAGAACTCACCCTCTATTACGTCTTCTGCCATAGCTGTCATGACTTCTTCCGGCATCAGACCGTTGATTGGGTACATTCCCAAGCGTTTCGCCAACACCATTCGTAAGCATCGCCATCATTAATGAGCTAAAATTCTTATTTTATACCAGTATCCTTAATTATCCGATAGATCTGTACCCTCGTCTCTTATTCTACATCTATCACAATTACCACCTTGGTTATTCTCATATACTCTAGTCTAACTGGTAAAAGGGCCGCACCTCCATAGTACATCAAAATAAGCATGGCAATTGCAATGCAGGACTAAGGATGGCGAAGGCCCCTTAAGATAACCACTAAGGAGTCGATGAAGAGCCTAGGAATATGTCAAATTAACGATCCAGAGTAAGTTCGTTGAAGTTCCCTTGACATCACGATTAAATTGCGAAAACGAGATTTTACCAATTATGTACAGCAAAAAAGGAGTGCGATTCAACTAAAGAACACAGGTTATTGGTCTTCAAACTTATGATGCACGGATGAAATTCAAGAGTGGAGAAAAAAAAGTCAGAATTAAATAAGAATCTCGAAAATCTACTCATTTATGATAAATGTGTAAACAAATATAATGGAAGATATATAGGAATGCATGCAGAACAAGACTAATCGGAGCTAAAGCAGTAAGAAAATAAGGCCATAAAGTAACGATACTGTCTTAAAGTATGGAAAATGGTTAAAGGTAGAGAGAGATTTGGTAAACAGAAGCAAGCCGACTTACTCTCCAGAGGAATGACGGCGCATATGCTGCCGCTGGCTGTAATAACTATAGGAGAGAAGAAAGTCATGAAGAAGATTAGTGGGAGGAGTAGGGAGGAAACAGGAAGGGAAGGCACGGGAGTCTATGGTTAAAAACTAAAAATGGTAAATATCACGCGAGAAAATAAGAAAAATAAGAAAGGGAAATAGAGTAAAAGAAAAATTAGTAGTAATTCAGAAAAGATTCAGACACAAACAATACAAAAAATCCAGAAATTAAAGCGAGTACAGGTAAGCGAATGCAGCAAAAGATATGTGTGCATATGCCTGCATGTAATATGTTTCTATGCAAGTGCATACAGATGTGTTACTATAAGAGGTTGTCTCCAGCTATGACGGGGACGAGTGTATATATATGTAAAGAAATTTACTTGGACAAGGAAGAAGTGAATTAAAGCGATGTTTATAATTAAAGCCACTTCAATTGGCGATTAATAGTGGGAGAAAAGAAATTCATTATGGAAAGTAAATTAGGATAAGGTAAAATAAACTCGGATACGACAATTTGATAAAGAAAAAAAATGGTACATTGCAAAGAAATGGGGTAATATAGGACTAGACGAGGAACACGAAGCAAGATAAATTTGATTTTTAAAAAGTAGGGCTAATGTTTGGTAATAAAAACAATGTTAGGAAAAATAAAGGTGGAATCGGTTAGAATAATGGTTAGTAAAAGTATTTCAAATGCAAAAAAAGAATGAAGTGACAATATAGGGAGAATCCTCAGCATCTGTTTAAGCAGACAAGTAAATTATAACGAAAATACCATCAGGAGTGTATCCATATAGCTATACCACATGAAAATAGCTGTTTGTCTTAACTAGATTATTCAATGATGAAATTGTCAAGATGTTAAAAATTATTTAAACAGGCATAGATACCTGGTTTTTTGCAGCGCCAAGAGTATGATATTTTATAGGATCATGATTCTAATAACATTATTATTTTTAAAGAAAATATGAAAATGTTATAAGTATTTTATACAAATAAGTCAGTGCGTTCTGAGCGT